GGTTTGCTGGGGCAGCCGTGCTAAGAATGAGAGTGAGAACGGAGGGGAAGAGGAAAGGAGGGGGCAGGGAGGGGGCAGGGTGTCCTCATGTCTTCAGCATCATCCTGCCCGGCACTGCCCGTGTCCAACGGCCTATGATTCCCGGAAGGACCCGTCTGTTGGAGAGGGCCCTGGGGCGCAGGCGAGGCAGCTGACGAGGTGGAGGAAGAGGTGGTGACTCTGCGTTCGACTTGGGTCCTGTCTCCATGGAGCAGCACTGAGCTGTGAGGGATGGGAGGCCCACCGAGGCCGGAGCAGGGCACAGCCAGGCAGGTCCCCGTGCCGCCTTAGTGGCCAGGGCACCGCAGGGAGCGCAGGTCTGGGACCAGGGATCAGTGTGCGCAGAGGAACGGGTGGCCTGCCCTGCGGACCCTCGAGCCTCTCCTGCCTCTCCACCTCGCAGGCCCTGGGCCAGGAGGGAGGCGCTGTCCAGGTGGAAGGGGTCTGTCTGCTCAGATGCTCACCCTCCAGCACGGGCATGTGGGAGGCAGGTGATGGGAAGGACGGAGATGCTCGGCCTGGCCAGTGGGGTCTGAGCTGGCACAGCATGGCCTCCTCGGGGTGCCAGGGGAGGGGCGGGGTGCACTGGCCCACTACCTACCCTACTCTGTGTATGCAGAAGTGAAGATGGTGGGTCTGGGGTCCCAGGATGAGATGGCCATCCAAGTTTGCCCTGGCTCTCCTGGCCTGCCAGGGCCCAAAGATGGGTACCTGGCTGCGGGGGGAGGGTGCTCCAGGGTGGAGGTGCTTCTGCCTCCTCTCCTGGGCCAGCCTGCCCTGCCCCCGCCCAGGGGATGGGGTCCAGTTCGGCCCTTGTATTTGTAGGAGAACAGGCCCCCCAGGCAGCCCAGGGAAGATGAGGCTGGCCGGGAGCAGATAAGAGGGGCGACCGCTGGCCCGTCTGCCAGGGGGTCTGCCCAGGGTCCCCCAGGATCAGGAATGCAGAGCAGCTGCACCATGCCCCCTAAGCGCTGTCACCCAGGCTCTGCCAGCTTCCCCCCCCAACTTCCCAGTAGGTTCCTCCCACCACACCTGTGCATCTACACACACATAGGACTCATGGGTGCACCCACAGGCACACCTGCACAGCCTACAGGGCGGGGGCCCCCTGTGGAGCCAGGTACCCAGCCCCCACAGGGCTGCTCTGAGAGAAACGTCCATCCCTCCCGCAGAGAGACGAGGAGCCACCTCCCTAGGCAGTGGCTCCAACAGAGAGGGGAGGTGGCCCCCTGGACCTCATCCGATCTAAGTAGTGGGGACGCCACCCCCCACCCAGGCTTGCTCTGCCTGGCACTGCTGGGAGGTCACAGCCCAGACAGGAGGCCGGCAGGGCAGAAGGCTTGGGTCGGGGCGTCCAGCTCCAGGGACCAAGCCGGCACCCTGTATCTCTCCAGGGGAGAAAGGTACCCGGGGGCCCACAGCGTCCCCCAGTGAGAGCCTTCCCGACTTCCGTGTGTGTTCCTTGCCCCGCGGTTCCGGTCCTGGGACCCCTGTGGGGGTGGAGCAGACGGGAGGCGGCAGCAGGGCCCTGGGGCCCAAGGAGGAGTGGAGGGAGGGCTCGCCTGACCTGCCCTCCAGCCCAGCCTGGGGGCCAAACTGACCTGGGAAGTCCCAGGGGCCCACCCAGTCCCCCCCCCCACTGTGACGACCTGTCTCAACTCTGGAGAGGGTCACAGAGAGTCAGAGAGTGGCCAGAGGCCCCCAGAGGAGCCTGGGGCAGGCAGGAGGGAGGACAGTGCTGATGGGGTGGGCTTTGGGGTACAATGGGGGGCCCCAGGGGTGGAGCATCTGTGAAGGGGATGTCTTCTGCCCAGGAGAGAAGGTGCTGAGGTGCCAGAGAGGTGAGTGACCTCGTCCTCCCCCACCCCCGCAAGGCCAGTGTGGGACCACATCCCAGATCACGGTGGCGTCTGTGCCCTCCCCAAGGAGCACACCCCAGGCACAGGCACCTCTTCACTTCACTGCCTCTCAGGGGCCTGCAACTGCAAGGACCTGACCGACAGGTACACCATCTACCCACCTGACTGCCAGGCTGACTGCGCTCTGTGACATGGACGCTCTGTGACATGGACGTGGGCGGTGGGGGCCGGATGGTGAGTGGGGGCCTGCAAACCTGGGCACCAGAGGTTGAGTCACCGCACTCAGACTGGAGACAGCGGGACGGCCAGGGACCACGTGTTGGCGCCCCCTAGCGGGAGAACCGCGCACCTACGGGTTGGCATCCCGCGCGTGTGCGGGGTGAGAGGGGCGGCGCGGGCGTGGACACTGCCGCTGGTGGCTGGTGGCGCAGCCGCTGGTGGCGCAGCCGCAGGGCCCTCCGCCGCGGCCACGCCGCCGGCTTTGCACGCCCTGCGCCACCTTCTCAGCAACGCGTCCTCCGCCGTCAGGGCTGTTCCACATGGGGCCAGCCCCGCCGGCTTCTGCCCCGTAGAACCGCGGGCTCACACCCCACAGGTGTCCGGCGCCCCGTGGACGGCTCTGTGGGCTCCTTGCGGGACTGGGAGTCCTTCGAAAGAGGCTCCAGCAGCCTGGCCGCGGAGTTCTGGCTGGGCAGGGGGCCCGCGGGCCAGACCCCGGCCCGGCCTCACCCCTTCCCTTCCCGCCTTCCGACTGCTGCGGCCAGGGAACCAGGAGCTCAGGGGCGACCTGAAGGATTTCGAAGGCGGAGCCTCTCCCGCCAAACACAGCTCCTTCCCGGGGTCTGGAGAAGAGAAACACGCTGGCGGGGGGGCGTTTCTCGGTGGTTCTGGCGAGCCTGAGGCCCTGCGGGGTGCAGAGTGTTCCAGGAAGCGACACAGACGCAGGGATTCGGACGCTCAGACGACTTCGTTAGAGGAAGGAGAATTTATTGCCGAGGGAGCGCATGAGGCTCCCCCGGTTAGATTTCTACAGCTCACAGACCTCTGCAGTGTCCACGCAGGGGGCGCGACTCCTTCGCCTGAGGTTCTGCGTGCACCTCGTGACTCAGGATGGGAGGGGGAGCTTCGGGTGGGGGCCGCAGGGGAGGAATTTCCAGACCACGGTTCTATCTACGTACAGGTCATTTTGCCTTGTAGAACCCGCGACCTTGGCGCTATCAACACTGCTACTGTCCGGGATTCTCGGACAGACGGGACACCGAGGCTATAGGCAGAAAGGAGCACTTACTGATGCCCGCGCCGGCTCAGCGGATTCCTGTGCAAAGGCTGAGCCCTGGTTGTAACGTAACGGGCAGTTTTGCACAGTCTTGTTCTGCCTGCCCA